AAATGCTACAGGTGCAGCCATGGAAGATGTGTCATTGGCTGCTGTAGAAGAGAGCGGTCAAAACGCAAAGAACGAACCTATCTCCGCCTCCGACCGAAGTCAACCAGGTGCACCGATTTATGAAGCAACATTAGGTGTATTGTCAGATCCACATATCACCAGTGCTGTACCAAATACTTTAGTTTCGCGTCCAAGCATTCCGTTGAATGTTAATTTTATGCCTGCTGTCACTAACCAACAACACGGTGACTCTGTCGAAGCACAAATTGAAAAATTCCAACGTGAACGTGATTTGCTACTGCTGCAACAACAAGTGGATGAATTACGGCAAATAAGCCGACCGCCAACACACAACATCCGAATGGACATTAGTGTAATTGAGTCAATGGTGCAAAAATTTACTGCCGATGATGCTTATGAGGTGCACAAGTGGATCGAAGATTTGGAAGACGCCTTCGAGATTTTGCAGTTTGATGAACGAGCTCGATTCGTGGGAATGCGTCGATTACTGAGTGGAACTGCAAAAGTTTTCATACGAACGATATCCGTGCATACTTATGACGCCTTACGCGAAGAGTTGCTCACGGAGTTTGGTCGCAGGTATTCAACTGATGAGGTGTACAGGCAATTGCGGTCTCGACGCCTGAAGCCAAATGAAACTGTCCACCGTTACGTTATCGAGATGCAGGAAATCGCTGCTCGTGCCAGAGTTCCCGAAAGTGAATTAATCGATATTATCATCGGCGGAATTGGGGATACATCGAACGCTGCTTCTGTACTGATGAGTGCCACAACATTACGCGCTTTGAAAGACTCAATCGTGCGATACGAACGATTGCGATCAAAGCCAAACATTGTTATGCCAGTTCGTCGTGTTATTCCATTTGTGCCAAACACTGCTGTCCAGCCAAATGCATCATCGGTTACACGTTCCACTGCCGCCCCTCAGCCCGCTGCCTCTCAGCCCGCTGCCGCACCTTCTGTTGATAACTCGGTCCGTTGTTTCAATTGCTCTCGTTGGGGCCATTACCAAAGCGCTTGCCCGAAGCCAAAGCGACCTGAAGGTTCCTGCTTTCGTTGTGGACAAATGAACCATGTGTACAAAGACTGCCCGAACCGCCCCGTTGTTGGTGCTGTGAACCGAGGTGTGGGATTCATCGAAGGAGAGAGCGATG